ACTTAACCTAAACCTAACCGGCCAGCCGTATCCATCCCCTTGCCTCCCAAACTCAAACTCCTATTTACTACTTTCCTTCTATTCCACATCTTAATTATGAAAGTTTTTCAAATTTCAAAATTCAAATCAATGTGAAATTTTAGATCCCTTCTAAATAGGATAACTTTTATGTTAGAAACTTTCCTATTATGCTTACAATTAAATCTAATTAAGAAATTGTTAAATCTCAACCTTACGATCCAAAGACATCCACGGCTGTGAACAGTAATCCGTGAAGATACATGGATAGCATTTAATTCCTCCCATTTGATTTAGGAATAATTGTAATCATGTTATTAGAGTTATTCTTGTTTCCTTATCAGATACACCCTTGTATAGATCCTATAAATAGGAGTAGATTGCTTTAATAAAATTCAGATTTTCGCCTCTCAAATTCCTCTGGTTTCACACATGGTATCAGAGCCAACGGCATTTAATTGCCATCGGTAAGAACCGATCCTAGATCGTCGAATGAGGAAAGAAAAGGAGAAGCTCGGACTTGATCGTTGCCAGACTCGTGTAACGCGCGACGAAACAAGACCTGAGCCGAAAGCAATGCTTTTCGATCGGAACTTTCACTTCGATCCGAGAGGAAGGTTCGAAGTCGTCGAAGGGAAGAAAGAAGAACGTCCGGACGTGCCGACGTACTGAACGTATCTAGAGGAGGTCCGTCCACAGCATCGTCTTCAACGACCTTCTCTCCGAGCCGAGCGACCGTCATCTCGAGCCGACGGAAGGAGTGGACACGGCAAGCACCTACCGATCCGACCAAAAAGGGAAAGTCGACGAAGGAGCGAAAGCGCCTCACGCTTGAGCGACTTCTCCGAGCCGACCAAAAGGGAAAGTGGACGAAGAAACTCCCGCTCGTGCGTGCCTAGTTAACCTCAAAAACAATCGAGTCTTTTTAAAGAACTCGTTGACCCGATTAAATAATCGGAAAAGAAAAAAAAACTCTTATTTCGACCGCTTTATTGTCGATCAGGAAAAATTTTGGGAAGCCTTCATTGCTAACACACAGACATACAGATAGTCTTGACTTACTATCATAATGCAGAAATTTAAATTCCTCGAAGTATTAGAAGTAACTGAGGAGTCGATGGTTCACAAGGGCGAGGTGACCTTCAAAGCATCAATCTTCCTATGTCTAAATGGAAAGAATACCTGTAAGTGTCTCAATTGTGAAGACCTACTTAAAAGAGAAAGGGAAAATACACCACCCTTCTTGAAGGAGACCAAAGAAGAGATCCTAAATTTGGGGGCATGCGGAATGGAAACAGACTCCATGATTAATGTCATGGTGTCGGAATTAACCATGACTCCAGAATTTAGCGATACATTTTATGTTCTTTTGACTGCAAGGTCATATGGGATGCTTGCTAGACAAACCTTTCTCCAAAGTCGTGAATGCGGCTCAGAATCTTTGAAGTTAAAGTCAAAGTTGGAAGCACGAAGCAGGGGAGTTAGCACAGTGATGGAGTATGCCACCATTCTACAAAATCAGTGGCAAGAACTTGATTACTATAAGGTGCATTGAAACAGATGTCCGGAGGAATGCTGCGATCCTAAGAACTTTATTGAAAAAGATAGAGTTTATGATTTTTCCTTCTTGCAGACAATGAGAAATTTGATCAAGGTTAGAGTTCAGAATCCTCGGCAAGGAGAGCACCAATCACTCAACGAAAACTAATTTCTCTCATCCGAGCAGAAGAAAGTCGACGAAGTTTTGCTAAAAAGGCCGTTGAATGCTCAGCAATGGTGATGAACAAAGAATCATCATGGAAGGAGAAGGTAAAGATTTCTTCATAATTCAAAAGATAAAGACTCACTTTGGTGCAGCTATTGCAAAGAAGTCAAGAACACACAAAAGAAATATGTGGAAGATACAGAAAACCCCCAAACAATGGCAGTGGAAAAAGGGTAAACAATGAGTACATCACATGCAACAACACTACAAGTAAGCCAGAAAGCTCAGTCCAGTCTTTGGAGAATTGCAACTAAAGAAGATATTGTAATTGAAACGACTTCCTGTATCTCTTGAAAAACAAATGCTTCTTCTTCACTTGCACTCTCGGTAAGACTCTAATTTCTATTAGTTTAAGTGCTTTTAGAAATCATTTAAAGAAAATTTGGATCATTGATTCAGGAGCCCCAGATCATATGACCCACTACCCAATCCACCTCATAAAACTATACTCCTTGCCAAACACAAAAAAATTACACTTGCTGATGGTTCTCATTACCACGGTAGCTGGCCAAGGAGACATCATATTATCACCATCCCTCGCCCTAAAAAATGTTGCCTCCACGTACACAAATTATCAAACAAAGACCTGAAATATCTATACAAAAACTTAACGATACCATAATTGTCAAGCATTGTTTAACCTACTTATTGTTTTATTCAGACCGGAGATCGGAGAAGAAGAATGGACTTGCTAAGGAGAAAAGCAGGATTGTACTACTGGAAGTAACGCAAACAATCTAAAAGGAGTTGGCTCTTTGTTATACCTAGTCGATAAGGAAACTCCGTATTTGGCTTCATCATTCATAGACTAGGACACTCCATCTTTTTGATGTTCTAAAATCATATGTATCCGCAACTTTTTTTCATAATTTTAGACATAAAATGTTTCATTGTGAAACAGTGAGGTTTGGCTAAAACATAAAAAGAACCTCCTTCCCAAATAAAAGTAGAGAATGTGCTACTCCTTTCTACCTATGTCATTAGTGATATATGGGACCTCTAAAATTCCCAATACTCTCTGAGGCACGTTGGTTTGAGGTCATTCATCTGATGATTGCACAAGAGTCTCTTGGATCTCATCTCCTTAAACATAAATCCGATGTTTAGCAACATTGTTCCGCATCT